TTCCAGCTGTGTACCTAATGACTGGGATTGCCCAGGTGTTGATTGCCTTTATGGTATTTCCTCCATTGAGTTTGGATTTTAAGATCTTCTTCACTCTCTTGATGTATTCACCTCTAATCTTTTTCTTGACTTCAGTGTGCTTGATGTTGTCAGCTTGAAGGATACCCAAGTATTTGTAGTACTCTTCCTCATCCAGACTCTTAATGTTATTTTCGTGGGGCATCTTGATTCCTTCAGTTTTCATTATTTTTCCTTGTTTGATAGTAAGTGTGGCACATTTGTCCAAGCCAAACTCCATTACAATATCTTGGCTATATATACGGACAGTGTTGAGCAGCGATTCTATTTCAGATGATGTTTTTCCATACAGCTTCAGATCATCCATATAAAGGAGGTGGGATAGTCTGGCAGATGTTTTTGATGTTTGATAGCCATGTCCTGAGTTATTCAGTATTGTTGACAGAGGAAACAGTGCAATAACAAATAGTAATGGTGATAATGAATCTCCTTGAAATATTCCTCTCTTGATATTAACCTCTCCCAGCCTCTCACCATTGATCTGCAACTGTGTCTTCCATTGTGCCATCGATCTTTGCACAAATTTTCTGATGTTTCTACTGACTCCTGTTATTTCTAGGCACTTTATTATCCAATCATGTGAGAGAGAGTCAAATGCCTTTTTGTAGTCAATCCATGCCACATTCAGGTTGGTCTTCCTTCTCTTGCAGTTTTCCAAGATCATTTTGTCTATTAGGAGTTGATCTTTTGTTCCTCTGCTATTGGGGCGGTTTCCTTTCTGCTCAGGTGGAAAGAGATTGTTTTCAACTAGATGCTGTTGCACTGCATCAGCTACCACACCAGTTAGTAATTTGAAAGTTGTTGGTAAGCAGGTAATTGGCCTGTAGTTACCTGGTGTTGCCCCTTTTGCTGGATTTTTCATTATTAGGTAGGTTTTCCCAGTTGTTAGCCACTTTTCAATTTCTCCTCCTTGTAGTATATTGTTGAACTGCTTGGCAATGAGTGGGTGTATAACAGTTAGATGTTTCAACCAAAACCCATGCAGTTCATCTTCACCTGGTGCTGACCAATTTTTGATTTTCTTTGCTCTTTTTTCTACCATTTTTGTTGTTATTACTAGTTCTTTCATTTCAACTTCTGTTTTATTTGCATCCACCTCTTTTAACCAAGCCGCATCCTTGTTGTATTTCTTTGGGTTATCCCATATCTGCTTCCAGAACTGCACTGTTTCTTCCTTGTCAGGTACTGACTGATTCCTTGCAGTTTCTCCATTGATGGATTGGTAGAAACGTTTCTGATTGGATTGAAATTGGAGGTTCTGCCTATAGTTTGCAATTCGAGCTTCATATCTACTGATTTTCCTGGCTATAGCTGTTATTTGTTGCTTTATTATTTCCAGTGCTTCCTTGATCTTCCTTGTTTCTAAGTGGTATTTCTTGATTAGGTATTCTTTGGTCTTCTTGTTCTTCAGCTTCTTTTCTTTCATCTGTTCTAGCTTGCTTGCATGTGATCTTAACTTGCTGATCTTATTTTCTAGTCTAACCTTCCATTTTTCTGGTGCACTGTTTGTTTGTTTTTCTTCTTTGTTGATTTTGCATCCCAGGTATTCTGTTATAACTGCAGCTGTGCTGTACATTAGTTGGTTTGTTTCTTGCAGTGAATTGGTGCTTATACTTGATATTGCATTTGCATCTTTTAATGCTTGTGCTAGCTGTTTCTTTGGAACAAGCTTCAATGCAGGTAGCCTTATTCTGTTGTTTTTGTGCTGTTCTAGATGCTCAGTTATTCTTTGTTTCAATTCTTTTATTTCTTTAGTTAGAGGGTTTTGTTCTTCCTGAGGTAGAGGTGCCTGGTTTCCAAATGAGAACAGTTGTATATCTCTGCTAGATTCCTTCACTGCCAACTCCCCCTGGTTTGCCTCTACATTCTGAATTACTTCTGGTAAGGCTTTGATTTCTTTGCCCTGGGTAAACCTTTGCAGTTCGTCCAATTCTGTTTCTGTGAATATTTTATTTCGTGTTATAAATCGGCGTTGATCTGCTAGTCTCTGTTCTGTTATTTCTGATTCTGGATGTTGTTCTTTCCAGAATTGGTGCATTCGTTTTAGATATCCTCTTCTTGTTGGACTTGATCTGTAGTAACAGATCATTATTTCTTTGTTTTCCATCACTGTGTATCTGCGACGGGTAAACACCTTTTCTTCCAGTAGTTCTGCAGCTGCTGGCCCTGGTTGCTCAGCCAACAGTCCTGAGTCCTGTAACCCATTTTTCACCAGATATCCAGGAACTCCGATATCTAGTGCGGACCTTGTTAACCCGGGCGACGTCCGAGCCGGTATGGCATTCTGAAATTTACGTCTCACCATATTTTTTATGGGAGAGACACTCTTTGTCTGACTCCTCTGATGAGACCTGTCCAGTATGGTTGAACCTCTGGCATAGCTCTCATCTTCCTCAGAGTACACAAGCCCCACAATCACGTCAAGGTAGTGCCTCACTGGGGGATTATTATTATTATTATTATTATTATTATTATTATTATTATTATTATTATTATGCCTCAAGTGTTGGAGCACCCACAACTTCTAGAGGCAAGTTGTTCCGCTGATTAATTGTTCTAACTGTCAGGAAATTCCTCCTTAGTTCTAGGTTGCTTCTCTCTTTGATTAGTTTCCATCCGTTGCTCCTGCCTTCAGGTGCCTTGGAGAATAGGTTGACCCCCTCTTCATTGTGGCAGCCCCTCAAATACTGGAATACTGCTATCATGTCACCCCTAGTCCTTCTTTTCATTAAACTAGACATACTCAATTCCCGCAACCCATTCTTTGTATGTTTTAGCCTCCAGCGCCGTAATCATCTTTGTTGCTCTTCTCTGTACTCTTTCCAGAGTCTCAACATCTTTTTTATATTGTGGCAACCAAAACTGGATGCCATATACCAAGGCATTATAAAGCGGTACTAACACGTCCTGTGATCTTGATTCTATCCCTCTACTAATGCAGCCTAGGTCTACAGAAAGGCAAAAAAAACCACACTGGAGTGGAACAAATTGGTCCTTGGGAGCAGAGGAATCGCTCACAGACTTTAAATCTTTGCAAAGGATAAATAGACCTCAATTTATAGCCATTCATTTAGTGACTGTTCAAATTTACAACAGTCTTGAATACAGTGACTTACGACCAGTCTTAGGACTACTGTAGCATCCCTAATGTCAGGTGATCAAAATTCAGCTGCTTGGCAACCAAAATTTATTTATGATGGTTGACATTGTTCTAAGTTCACGTGATCACCGTTTGTAACCTTCCCAGCTAGCTTCCCACAAGCAAAGTCAATGTGGGTAGCTGGATTCACTTAAAGACCACGTGAACAGCTGCAGTAATTTGCTTAACGACCCTGGCAAAAGGTGGTAAAATCAAGCATGACTTACTTAACCACTGCCTTACTTAGTAATGGAAATTCTAGTCCCAGTTATGGTTATAAATTGTAGACTAATTGTAAGTAAGTAAGAAGTGTAATTTAAGAAATCCTTAGATGTCAAAGCTGATGTGTCTTGAAAGGATGATATCATTTTCAGCCAACTTACAAATGCTACATGCCTGTTGGTTGAAAAACCCAAGCTAGCAACATCTATGGAGGTTCTCAATCATCTAGGTCAAAAAGCATCTTTGGGTCAGGCTAACAATAGTTACTGTTTGAAATTTGCTAGATAAGGACGGTCTTTATTACTAGATCAACAGAAAAAAGAGGTCCAATTGAAATCTAATTTGTACAATTGTTGTCTCTGGAGCTATTTACACAGTACTCTAAAGAAAGGCAATATAATAGGCTTGAGTAAATGTTTGTTCAATATAAAAGGAAGGCTTCCTTGGCAATTCTTGGCTTTTTTAGATTTGATGCAACTTCAGCCACTCAAGAAATACATTTTGATATCCAGGAGAGATACAGTATACCTTCACTATAGCATCAGCGCCCGTTTCTCCACTGAGTTTGTATTAAAAATCCACCAGTCTATTGTGTGACTCTTCGTCAGATGCCAACCATGGGGCAGCTTTTCATTTTGCCTAATGAATAGTGAATTTATTGTGATTAGTAGTTGGGGCTTCTTGCAGAATTTCTCTTGCCATTTAATGCGGCGCTGAGCTGCAGCTGAGTTTAGGGATCCACACTGTGAATTAAGGAAGTTCTTCCAGGTCACAGTATGTGTTTCATCCCTGATACTTGGAAAGCCGTTCTCCAGAGCAGATGAACACGCTTTCTCTGTATGAAAATGACAACAGACTGCATTCTGAGAAATAAATGGATACAGGCTTGGTGTATTGTAGCATGCTAATACAATTTGCTTGGATTGGTCTTGGCTAAACCAGCTGTTAGGGTTGATAAACCGTAGTTTAAGGGTTAGGCTCAATGTGTGCATGTACAATACATGGGGCTGAGCAAGATATTTACACCCAATCATTATGCTTTGAAACCATGGATTGGGGATGAAAAAGATATGTAAAGTCAGCTTATTCAGAAAGCATCCTTAAATCTGATTTAACACAAAGAGACAGAGAATTTAGCCTCTGAAAAGACCTTAGAAGTTTCTCCATACTTTGTAAATGGGACCTGGGAACAGGATTCTCGGTTGGCGTCTTTCAAGTTTTGCCTCATCTATATACCAACATTGCATTTATGAATAAGTGGAACCATTTTAAAACGATTTTTTACTCAGATGGTTTCCATTCAAAGGGAACAAAAATGCAAGTTCTAAGAACGCTGAATTTCATCCCAGCAGGGGATGAAAGGGGGAAAATGTAACATCTGATTAGTTTTAGCCATAATTTTATTTTGCTCTTTTTTAAAAAAAAATGCATGGATGCGGACATTTTTTGATGGGGTGGCTAAGCAATTGAAAACCAATAGGGAACAGGAATTCATGCTTTTTTTTTTTCCTGCCAGAAAGCAATAACAACCAAATATTTTTCATTCTCTTTATTTTATTAGGTGTACTGTGGATGACCGGGTCACGCGAGTAGCTTGGCTGAACCGTAGCACTATTCTTTATGCTGGAAATGATAAGTGGTCGATAGATGACCGGGTGGTCATTCTCACAAACACCAAAACTCAATACAGTATCAAGATCCATAATGTGGACATATATGATGAAGGCCCCTATACCTGCTCTGTACAGACAGACAATCATCCCAAAACATCACGAGTCCATCTTATCGTCCAAGGTAAGACTTGGTGCATGTTTTCTGTTGAAATGAACACGAGGAAGCTCCATGATCTTTGAATAATTGCTCAGGGTTAGAAGTCCTCAGGGCTTTATTAATAAAAATGGGTTGTGGGTCTTTTTCTGGATCCTCTGATTCTATCTTAAATTCTTTCATTTAGAAATGAGGGCTTTCCACTGGTTAATGATGAATGAACAGATGCCATAGATGGCATATTTCTGTCTGTTGATGTCAGCTGGATTCTTGACAGTCCAGTTCTTTTCTGGCTTGAATTTTGAGTGACGTTGGCTTGTTTGTTTGCACTACTCTAGTGAAAAATCATGGTTTGTGTTATTTTTTTTTTCCTGCTCTAGTACTATAACAAAAGTAATGAACTTTTTCAGAAGAGGTTATGAAGCTTGACCTCAGGATGCACGTGGTATACTACAACTGAGCCTAACCTAATTGTTGTGCATACAAGTATCTCTTTCATAGAGAAAATATTACTCCGGTCTGCTTTAAATTGTGTAGAAATGAAACTGTGGTCTGGATCCTCAAGGGCAGAATCTGTTATCAACTCTCTCTTTCCTACCTGGTGTATGGGTCCAAGTTCCATAGGAACGGAGATGCTTTTAAATCAGGAAATAATCTCCTCAACTCATTGAATTATCACCTTTAGGAGGAAATATAGTGACAATATAAAAGACCTGACAGGTGCTGTAGAAGAAGAGACTCAAAAAGAACAAGTCTAACACTTTCCACAACCAGTAAGAAAAAGAAGACAGATTGCATAAGTTTGTCAAAGTCATTGAAAACCATCAAGATATGTTGGCAGAGAACTTCACGAGATAAATGCACATGAAAGCTCTGTTAGTCCAACACACTTGGGGAATAATAAGAAGGACCGAACTCAAGAATGTAAAATTAAGTGCTAAATTAACAGGAGATCCGTGTCCTCTGTAAGTGTGTTGTACTACAAGGATAGCTTTGATTTCACTGACAGTAATTTTGCTGATCATCTTCTGAAGAAGTGAAGATAAGGGAAAAGTCAAAGGCTGTCTTCCTTTTTTAAAAATGTTTTTATTCACACTTTTAATGAACATAATACAAACTCAAAGAAAAAAAGACCTCTAAAAGGGCAGGAAAAAAAGGACAAAGTAGAGAAGAAGAAAAAAATAAGAGTATAGTAACGAAAAAAGAAAACATATAACACAATGACTTCATCACAAATATAAACCTTTTTAACAACTATTATTTATTAATAAAATAATAATCACCCTCTTAAAATACAACAAATGTTCTCTCTTCTTCCCGTATTTCATCTCTTATCTATAAATGAATCCTTTAAGCCAATAAAGTCTAGACATCTTCAAGTAGCCAAAATTGAGAAATACTGGTTTAAGCTTTATCACTCATTCCTGATCAGCAACAGAAGTCCATTAAGGGTTACCAAAAATAACAACAGATCTGTTTAAACCTTGATCAAATAAACCAACTTTATATTCCTTCCTTTTACTATTAAGAATGTTGATCTTTAACCCTTTCAAGTAATGCAATTCAACCCTGTGGTACAGATATTCTCTTCTGTTAATTCCCTAAACATGTTCTTCCTCTGCAAAAGAGGCATTCATTGGTCTTCCTTATTCTGGGGAATTAATATCCCATTTCTGTGGACCCAGCTCAATTGTGGCTAGAAGTCAGGGTTTTGATTGTTATTCTCTATTCTCAGTGACCTAGTGCTTCCTTGGCTGTGCGCAATTCCTGATAATAAAAATGGACCTGTCCTGATGCTTTCCTGTCCCATTTAATTGAGACACAGAGAGCCAAGAAGTCTGAAGACTTCTGGAGAAATTGTAGGCCAGGAGTGTCCAACCTTGGCAACTTTAAGACTTGTGGATTTCACCTCCCAGAATTCATCAGCCAGCCATGAAGGGGTCTTAAAATTGCCAAAGTTGGACAGCCCTGTTGCAGACAGAAACACAGATCAGAAATCTCTCTTAGCTTTTATTTTTTATTTTTGGGGTGTGTGTGTGAAGAAACATGGTTCCAGAATTCCACGTTCCACCCAACGCTTCTTCTCCTTGAAAGACAAAATCTATAAAAAACAAAAATAAAGTCACGAATCTGCCATATGGTTAAATAAGACTGTTTTTTAAAAAAAGCAAAAGAAATGTTCATCTAAGCTATAAAATGGGAAATCATCAAAAATGAGACCAGGAACATTGAAATCATACATCAGCAGATCAACACCTGGATCACACACAGAGGAAGCAAACTTATCACCTGCTTACTACCGTCTCTGTGATATTGGGATGTACTCTACCCCTGTGCAAATGAGAGCAATTATTTCTAAATCTGTAGCTATGCCTATGGGTTAACATATGCAAAGGTTCATCCCTTCATTTTCTTTTTCATTGTTTTGCATTGGTAGCTTTATTTAACCACCTCCCTCCCACCCTCTCTTTCTCCTCCCCTAAATCAAACCCCAGCACTAATTTATTGGTGGGCTTCATAAAGAAAAGAAATGAAGGGTTTTTATGCATTTCTCCCCACCTGATAGTCAGGAGTCAGAGCGTGTTTCACGTACAGATAGTCCTTGACTTACCACCATACGTGAGCCCCAAATTTCTGTTGCTAAACGAGAAAATGTGTTAAGTAAATTCTGCCCCATTTCACCCCCTTTCCTGCCATGTTTGTTAAGTGAGGCACTGCAGTAACACTGTTGTTAAGCAAATCTGGCATCCCCATTGACTTTGCTTGTCAAAAGTTTGCAAAGGGGGAATCACATGCTCCTGTGACACTGCATAACTGTCATAAATTTGAGTCAGCTGCCAAGCACCTGAATTTTGATTATGCGACCATAGGGATACCGCAGTGGCTGTGAGTATGAAAAAACATTTCTAAGTCACCTTTGAACAGTCACTAAAGGAACTGTTAGAAGTGGGGAGACTACCTGTAGTGGCATAGGTGAATACTGGCCTGTGCTTTCATTTGCTTAGAGCCACAGAGCAGATAAACATTTCTAACTTTAGATATAAATGTTGCATTTAGGGAAGAATAAGAAGGGCCAAAATCAAGAATGTAAAATTAAGTGCTGAATCAACAGGAGATCCGCGCCCTCTATAAGTGTGCTGTACTACCAGGATACTTTGATTTCACTGAGAGTAATTTTGCTGATCATCTTCTGAAGAAGTGAAGATAAGGGAAAAGTCAAAGACTGTTTTCTTCTTTTTTTTTAAAAAAAATGCTTCTATCACACTTTTAATAAATATAATACAAACTTAAAGAAAAAGGACCTTAAAACGGGCAGGCAAAAAAAGGACAAAGTAGAGAAGAAACACAATAAGAATATAGTAATAATAATAAAAAGAAACATATAACGTAATAACATCATCACCTTCGAGTGGCCAAGGCTGAAAAACACTGGTTTAAAGGATTCATTTATAGAGAAGAGATGAAATATGGAAAGAAGAGAACATTTGTTGTATTTTAAGAGGGTGGTTATTGTTTAATTAATAAATAATAGTTGTTAAAATAGTTGTAAGTTACTTTTTTTTTCCATTGCTGACCTGTAGTGGCATAAATGAATATTGGCCTGTGCTTTCCTTTCTTTAAAGCCACACAGGAGATAAACATTTCATACTTTAGATATAAATGTTGCATGCACACACACTTACACATGTACTCACCTGCATGCATAAACCCTCCCCCCCCCAACTTGATAAATAAATAATTCACAAGGAATTATATGCTCTCTAGTCCATTAGTCCAGGAGAAGTTCTCGTTTCTCCTTCTTAATGCCTTCCCCCCCCAACTTTCTACCCCACCATTCCAAGTGCTAAGTAGAATTAAGTATTCTCTCCTCTCCCCCCCCCCCTTCAATTAGAAAGAAACTCCAGAGGGCTGCCTTCTTAGCAACTGCTATTGGCTTTTGTCCAGTCTATAGATTAATTTTTCACCGTTAGTGTTAGTTCAGGTTAGATAAAGGTAATGAAAGTTTCCTAATCCTCTTAAAGAAGATTTATCTGGCTGAGTAGAAAGCTCTTGCTGTACAATAAGGCATGTATAAAACCTTCCCTTTAATTTCCAACAGCTGATGGATATTGACTTTGCAATGAATCAATCTGAATTGGGGAGGGAAGAATCTGCGCTTTGCCTTATTTCCTCCATTTTAGGGGGAAAAAAACTTCATCAAACTATTATTAAAATAACTTCTTCCTTTGTGCTTCATTTAAGGAGAAACAAGTGGCCTTTCTGAGCTTCTTGGGCTGAGAAATCAGTCTTTCTTACAGGAGAAAAATGCAACCACCTGTAGCTATCTCTTGTTTATTTTTATTTTGTTTCATGTATTTATTAAATTTAGATGCCACCCATCTCTAGCCAAAGTGATTTCTGGGCGGCTGTTTTACATGTAATATTTAGATATTAGTCTGATATTTTTCATTTAGTTCATTGTGTACACATCAAGTAAGTAATACTTGTACTGAGTCAGCTACCAATGTCTATTTATTTTAACAATCTGGGTAGAATTCCCATTGCTTTAGCATCTCTTATGCAAATATTTAGACAGCAGCATCACTGGTCTTGATCCATGAGTTCTGCAGGAGAGAATGTTACCTCTCCTTCCAACTGAAGGGGCATGGAAGTTGTTCAAAGTCCAGGAGATACCAGCTCTACCTATTCCTGCAGCTGGGCATAATAGTGAACCATGAATTAGGCTCAGATGATTGCAAAAATATGAGATACTCAGCCATCTTTGTGTTTTGCCAAGGCCATTTTTAATTCAAATCACATTAAAGAAGTCAGTATTACCCCAAGTAGATTTGCACATGTATCTGGAGGACATCAGTTTCTCAAACTTTGATTTTTCACGTCTTGGTTCTTCTTTCAGAGAACTGGAGGAACAATTGCAGCAGAAATACTCATTTTTGTTCTGAATACTTGCGACTTTTGTGGTGTTTGGAATGAAATAAAAATCCCAACATATCTGGACCAAGGACAACTGCTTTACAATTATCTAT